ATATAGTCATTTCTGCATTTTTTGGGGAGGTCACCTCCTAATAAATGTCATTACAGAAAATCTAACTGCTAATTTTAAATCAATACTTTTACTTTTAATACTTAAGTACAAAAAACATCAGATACTTTAAGACTTTTACTCAAGTAATATTCCTAAAGGAGACTTTAACTTTTACCAAAGTAATTTTTTGGTAAGATACTTGTACTTTTACTCAAGTATCATTTTGTGGTACTTTATACAACACTGCACTGAGTCCTGCAGAGACAGGGTCTTACACATGTTACTGAGTCCTGCAGGGGGCTAATGCTGTGTTCCAGTAGTCCTGGGAAGTGGTAATTTCCTTGTTCCCATTGGTACATTTAAACTGGAACGCCCCCTCCAGTGGTAATATTCCACTTGTATAGTGGAAGAAATTAAAATGCCCCCAGTTTCGATTTCAAGATGGCGGCTACTCGCAGCTTTAGAAAGTTAACTCTGTAACTTTTACTGTTAATTATCTTTCTTAATTTTTTTGTGCATGTTTAATCACTCACACAAGTAGTGTGTTTTCTGTACAACACTGTATGTATTAAAATCAGTGTTTATTTGCATGACGTACGTAGTAGAGTTCTCTTTTTGTCATTGTAGCAGTGTTGTGGTTTGTTGGGAAAAGAGGTCAGTACCAGTTACCAGTTCCGGGAATACGATGTGAATGGAACGGAGCTTGAACTCATCATATGTTCAGCAGTAATAGCTGTGAGGAAGACTATGACTATTAAATTGAAACAGGACTTTGTTTATATTTAATTTATATTTGACAAGATTTGCAATAATATAATCACTTATGTGTTAATAAAATCTTCAGTTTTAATCCTGAATGTCACACTTTAACTATGGTACTATGGAAATGTTCATAAATATTTATTACAGTGCAGAAAATCTGCTGTTGGATATCAATACATTTATGGATGTTTTAAATTGTATTTTGTTGTCTAATGCACTAATATTTACATAATTGTTTTTTTATTTTACAATCAGATGAGTTTAGATTCTATATTAATATATCCAAATTTGCATAAAACATCAAACTATCTTTTTGCCTACTTGAATTTCCCACAGAAAGTCCTCAAAGTCGCCCTCTTCATCACTGCAGCTCTCTGTCTCGACGGACACTCCTGAGGAGTTCATGAAAAAATCTGTCAACTGAACAATTCAGCTAACCCTCAATCTGCCACCAGTATCTAAAGGCCACAAATGAAACTACAGATTATTACAAAAACAGATCAAACTCAGGGCGTAATTTGAAGAAATGTGAATATTTCTACAATTATAATCATCATCATGTTCATGCTCTCATTTTACTTGTTCAAAACAACCAAAATTGTCAGATAAATTGAGCAAAAATGGGATTTGAAGTTCATCAACTCACCATTGATGTCCTCTTCTTCACTAATAATCATCTTCATTTCAGTGACTAAAACAGGAAAAGACATCAAAGAAACAGTGATTTGATTTCCATGTCGCACATTAACATGAATCACATGAGTCTTTTTCTCATTATTATAAAGAATTTTAGTTTTTTTTTCTTTTTTTTGCCTTTTTTCACCTCTGTATTTTGAGACAAGAAGAATTTCTATCCGTGAACTACAGAGATTAAGTTGATTTAGAACAAAATAGTTCTTACCTTTCCTCTGGAATAAAAACACATCTTTTCAAATTTCATGCAAACAAAGGAAAACAATAACCAAATTGAGAAATAAGACAAAAAAAAAAAGCAGTACTCCTGAGTGGTTTGTCTGCGTCTTGTTTTGACCTGCAAAGATCTCACATGTTCAATCTGACTTCAGGTCACATGATCGTTTGCAGATTTAGACCACCTGCTCAGATTAACCCGGTCCTGACTGAGGAGAGGCTCAGACAGAAGAGTTTTAGTTTCGTCCTCAGGCTCTTTGTGTGATCCCGGGCTGTGCTCATACATCACATTTAGTAAAAGATGGTTTTGTCCAGGATGTCAGGCGAATGAATCAGTTTTAGGATCCTGATTAGAACAAAGAAGCGTGGTGTCAGAGTTGATGGATGGCCTCTCACACAGTGTTTGACATCTATTAGTCTCCGTGTCTGTCTGCTGCACCACAGCCTGACCTTAATCAGCTGTTAGCCTTGTTAGCAGTCGCCTGCTGTTCTGCAGTCTGGTCCCATTAAACACGTCTAGGACTCCATACATCTGCGCAGGTCTTCTCACAATAAGTGGCTTTTTTTCCACAGTAATCCACTTAGACCTGTGTGTGTGTGTGTGTGTGTGTGTGTGTGTGTGTGTGTGTGTGGACGAGGCTACCATGAATTCTTCTGCTTCACGTGACCAGTTTACTGCATGCACAGCTAAAGTTAATAAAGGCAAAGAAGCTCAGGTGATTCAGAATAAGTCAGGTTATTATGGATTTCAGCAAATGTTTAGTTTGGTTTATTATCTGAAAAAAATAAGTGGAAGAAAAGTTAATAAAGTAATGTTTTCCTTTTTAAAAAAAATTCTTTCTGGATTCATTTTAACAAATTAATTCTGATTAACGAAAAGTTAAAAAATGCAAATTTTAGGATATTTAGTTCCCAAACTTTTCGGCTTTTATTTTTTTATTTTTTACCTGTTTAACAAAAGCTAAAAATCAAATAATTCAACAATCTCTGAACTTGGTTTTTCCGTTCATGACTGTTTTTATCCTTATCATAACAATTATATTAAATAAACTATACAGTTGGGAATTAAAAAAGCAATTTAAATCTTGAGATCATCTCATAATGCTCAGCTTATTGCTCATAGAGGAGTCTGGACCTCAACTGTGAGAATAATTATTGCAGTGTAGGTAAGAAAAAGTAATTTTTCCTTGAGTTTTCAGCTTTAGCTTTAAAACCTTATTTTTTAAATAAAATGTTTGACTTTAATGTATTTTTTACACCTTTGGTCATTGGTAAACCCTTGTTTTTTTTTTTTGTTTTTTTTTCTTGAAACAGTAAAACAGTATTAATTTATTCATTCAACCAAAGCTCTCTGTAGCTGATCTGCAGGTTTGTTGACCACATGAGGGCGCTGCAGCTGGATGAGCTGTTGACGAGAGGACAGGAAACTGTGCATCACCCAAATTTCACAACACATAAAATCAAAAATAAAGCTCATTGCACCATAAAAACTGGTAAATAATTAAAAAATAAGAATATAATTCAGTTTAAGTCTATGGTACTGTGCTACAATGCTAATGCTAGCTTCTACATAAAGAAAGTGAGAAATCTGTTGTTTATATTTCTGTTTTTCACTGTAATAGTGACACGGATACAGTGTTTTGCAAACATCTGTGCTTATAAAATACACAGTTTACTGCTACTTGTGCAAAGTTAATAGACATTTGCAACATCCCTCATCAACCACAAGATGGCGGCAGCGAGCCCTCCTGTTTTTAACACTGTTGAGTTTATGCTTGTGTTCATGTTGGTGTCAGAAGTCTAAATTATTCCATTACTTTTATGAGGCTGAGGTAAAAGTATTTTAAGTTGCATGAGCTAAACTGACCGACCAATTATTAATTTACAGCTCAGGACAGTCGCGCCTGCGCCCCGTAATTTTTAACTCGATCAGCTTTTCTGTTTATATACTACATATAATAAAATAAAACAGATGTTTTATGTATATAATTCAACATCCACACCTGTTCGACTGTCCGGTCAGACGATGGTGATTTTCCCTGCGTTGCTGCGCTGATATCCGATGCCCCTCAGTTGTTGTGGCTCTACGCGCAAGAAAGTAGTCCCTGTTGGAATAAAAGAGACGCGCTTCTAATAGAGACGGTGGCGCCTTGGTCCCCTGCAAAGTTCACCCAGTAGGTGAGTAACCTTTAGGAGATTATAAATAACCCAGACTGGAAATGAGACACCTATGAAATCTACATATTTGTGGGTTTCATCTAGTAAATGGTCTTTAGTGTTACTATCATGGAAAGCTGTAAATTTAGTTTGATTTTCTAACTTGCTACTGTACAACCTTTTACATGTTAACAGTGTTCCTGAGTTAGGTAAGAAGCCTGGAGTTCTTTATTGAGCGAAAAAAAATGTAATAACAAATGTATTGTATTTTAAAGGAAACATCTCCTTTATTAAGTTATTGCATTTTAATTTCTACCCTGCTACTGTTTCATTTGCTGTCTCAGTCACAACACACTACTATTGTGTATTTTGAGCTGGAAACTTCCACACACTGCTGGTGCTTTTTTAGTTGTAGCCTAAATGTTAAATAAATGTTCATAAGATCATATGGCAATATTTGTGACGCACTTTTAAAGCCCTGTGTTTTGTCTAAATATGAGAGCAGAAAAAAACACATTGTGTATCCATTGCATTCTTTTCCTGCAACCAACTCATTATAATCACAACCTAAAATCACTTTTTAAATTTTTTATGTGTGGAACATTTTCATCCTCCTTCAGAAGAGATTTACCATCTGCTTCAACTGCACATAAAACACAAACTGAAGACTGAAAATGTGCAATCACAGTAAAATTATTTCAGTTTACACAAGCTTACTTTCTGCAATAAAAACTCGTAATATTGTCACACAAGTGTTATAAGTGTGCATGTTTCTGTTCACATTAAATTCAAAAGTCATTAGGGTTCCCTGTTTCAGTCAGTAAAGGCACTTGGACTTTTCTGTCATATAATCTCTCAACATAAAATAAAATACAGTGAAGGGTCAAAGCATATTCATGCAGACTCTAGTTTATGGCCTTCCTTCCACTGTCTCCTCAGGTCTTTCCCTGCGGACACAGATCCAGTCATGTCTAAGCCAAAAGATAGCGGCTCTTCCATCATGCACTCCCAGCAGCTGCAGGCTGCCATGGCGGACACTTTGATCGAGCACATGTGTCTGCTGGACATCGACTCCGAGCCCGCCGTGTCGCGCAACACCGGCATCATCTGCACAATCGGTCTGACACGTCGCCAGGCCCTTCATGTTCTTTCCTCTTTGACACAATAACAGACTTTTATTTTGTTAATGCACAGTTCAGATCTTTAAAGTGGGGTTCTGTGGAAAAGTTCTGAATTGTTGATATGGTGTTTGGAGTTTGATTCTGACAAAATGGATGAGCTAACAGCTAATTCAAGCAGGGCCATATCTAAAGTGGATTGCTACCATTTTAAACAACTCTAACCTCAAAAATGTCATAAAGGTTCATTTTAATTCTATTTTATAAAGCTAAAATTCATAAATGTTTACCTTAATACCCCTGTAATGCAAAACTGACAACATTATAAAGGCTTATAAACTTGTATAAGTCTTGGCCCCGACTCATCAATCAGATCAGAAATTAACAATTTTTCCAAATTGAGATCTACAAAAAGTAAAATACTTGTAACATTTCACAGAACTTCATTTCAATGGACCTCAACTATTTCTGTAATAGAAGTGCTTCTTAAATATTTTACTTGAACCCACATGTCATTCTGTGCTCGCCGACTCCAGGTCCCGCTTCCCGATCTGTGGACATGGCCAAAGAAATGATCAAGGCTGGGATGAACATTGCAAGAATGAACTTCTCTCACGGCACGCACGAAGTGAGCGAATGATGTTTGTTATATTTAAGACAAAATACTTGCTGTGACATGAGTTCATTTCAGCAGTACAGCATGCTAAAGCGTGAATCTATCCTTTAGCGATGGGAGGAAGAGTCAGTGTGACATTTGTCTGGTGGTCTTGGAACGGTCCGTAATGTGATCTGCCAGCTCGCAGTCGAGTCTATTGCTTGAAAGATCTTTGGCTGGTCAGTGACTGACTTTAAACCGGTGACCCTTTACATTTAAAAGTCACGACTCTGTTTACTGCCACCTGAGTGGACAACCAGAACTAAAACTAGGATCTAGAAAAGGTTAACAGCAGAGTTTTGACCAGAACAGTGAGGCCAGCTGTGATGACTTGAAAAGTTAGATTTGAATTTGAGCTTTACTCAAAATCCCAACCAAGTGAACGTCATGCTTTGTTATGAGAGCAGAAAAAGAGTAAATGTGACCTCTGTCTCGCCGGTGTGGCAGTTGTCAGGGCAGCTATAAATAGGACTCCCCCTCACAGCAACAGTAGGAGTGGAAGGCACGAAGAGAAACGACAGCGGGGTAACAGCACTGAGCAGCGGTCAATGTTCAGAAGTTTTCCTTCAGAAGATTATTGTTATACATAATATTCACTTTATTCATTTAAAATACACCATTTCCCCACTCATGCACCAAATAAATCTCATAATTTACTGCTTTAGTGGTTTTAGTGGTTCGCCTATTTTAAGCATCGAAAAGCTCAGGGTCATGTGTTCAAACTGAGACCACCTGTTGTACTAGATTCATTTAACTTTTTAAGAACGCATCTCATTTAAAGATACAGGACTGTGCAGAAGTTTAAAACCACTCATAAATCTTTATACTTTATTCGCAAGGAGCCAGACTTCCCTTTAAAAGTGGTTTTGATCAATAGTTCTGCTGGCTTTCAGTCGTTTTCTATGGATTTCAGTTTAGAGAGCGATCAATGGAGAACATTTTAAAAGATTACTAAAAAATCTGGCTCCCAGGAAAGAAAATAGTGTACGCATTTATCCGTCACAGTATGATAACGTTGTGCATAATCCACTAAAAGTTTTTACTACTATACCATCTGTTTCTTTAACAGTACCATGCTGAGACCATTAAGAACATCCGTGATGCAACGGAGAGCTTTGGACCAGGATCTGTTGAATACAGGCCAGTGGCCATTGCTCTGGACACCAAGGGACCAGAAATCAGGACTGGTCTTATCAAAGGCGTGAGTTTTTGTGCCAAATGACCTCAACTTTATGGAGAATGAAACAACAATGAGCAAAACCAATTTCGTCTTGTTCAGAGCGGCACAGCTGAGGTGGAGCTCAAGAAGGGTGAGACAATCAAGATCACACTTGATGACCAGTACAAGGAGAACTGTGATGAGAAGATTCTGTGGCTCGACTACAAAAACATGCCCAAGGTGGTGCAGATCGGAAGCCACGTCTATGTTGATGATGGTCTGATTTCTCTCAAGGTTAAAGAAGTTGGTAAGCACACAAATATTCTGCTGTTTTATGTTTTCTACTTTCTGTGAGTGGATTTTTGTCCTTGATGCTTAATATATACATATGTGTGTTTTAAGGCAACGACTATCTGATGTGTGAGATTGAGAATGGTGGTATGCTGGGCAGCAAGAAGGGTGTTAATCTGCCCGGAGCTGCCGTCGACCTGCCCGCTCTGTCTGAGAAAGACATTCAGGACCTGCAGTTTGGTCTGGAGCAGGACATCGATATGGTCTTTGCCTCTTTTATTCGTAAGGCTGCTGACGTTCAAGCTGTCAGGAAAGTGTTGGGCGAAAAGGGCAAAGACATCAAAATCATCAGCAAGCTGGAGAACCACGAGGGTGTGCGTAGGTCTGTGGATCAACAGCAACTCAGGCTGCCTGAAAGGGAAAAGCTTTGGCAAACATCTCTTTTCATTCACGCTAATTAGATTTGATGAGATCCTGGAGGCCAGCGATGGCATCATGGTGGCCCGTGGAGATCTGGGCATTGAGATCCCAACAGAGAAGGTCTTCGTGGCCCAGAAGATGATGACGGGCAGGTGCAACAGGATCGGCAAACCCATCGTCTGTGCCACACAGGTCTTTGCCACCGTGTGGAGTACTATAGACCAACAGAGAAAGAAAACTAAACTTTGTTTTCAGTTAACGATACAGCTCGTCTTTGTCTTTGTAGATGCTGGAGAGCATGACCAAGAAGCCTCGCCCTACTCGCGCTGAGGCCAGTGATGTTGCCAATGCTGTGCTGGATGGCAACGACTGCATTATGCTGAGTGGTGAGACCGCCAAGGGAGACTACCCTCTGGAGGCGGTGCGCACGCAGCACATGGTAAGACTGGCCCTGTTGAGGTGTTACGGACAAGATGTTTTGTGATCTTTGTGTAGCTGATGTCGTAAATGATGTCTTGTAAATGAGACTACATGTCTCAATGAGATTACCTGCCTAAATAAAAGTAAATACAGTATAAAAAGTTGTATAATGGCAACATTAAGGGAGCACAGCAGAGTTTTTTGCATGATAGTACAAGTGATGTTTAATTGGAGTTTTATGTAAGAAGTGCTGGTGGGTGGGTGGTGGTGGTGGGGGCGGTTGGGTATGACTGAATGGGGAAAAAATGAATGCTTGGACATTGCTAGCAAAGTGGACAGGTTTTAACTGGGCTCCCACATAAATGCAAAGAACTACGGATTAAAGGTGTCAGTTTTGCTCAACAAACGTTTATTGTCCTTCTCAGGGAATCTTCATGTTTTTAAACTCATTTTTGCACAAAGAAAAAAAATATTTTTTGATATCAATGTTGAATATTGTCACAGTAAAAAATAAACAGTTACATTTAAAATAATTACACTATAAAAGTGTTGTTTATTTATTTAAAAGAGGCTGTAATTTATATCAGTTTACTTTTATTAGTTGGCAGAAACAGTTTTGGAACCTCTGCCTAAAATGAATATTTGGACACTACTGCATGTGATGAAGCTTTAAACAAACATCCTGTAAAGTGCTCAGACCATGTGTTAGGGATGACTCTCAGCTACTGACACAACTAATTTTAGCTCAATATCTGTAAAACTGATTGAGATATAGGCTGTGTCTAAATTCAGGGGCCACAATGGAGACTGTCCAGATTTGAAGATACGGCTGACAAATGTGTCCTCCTTTCCCCCCGATTTGAGGGATGGGTCCAATGGATCCTTCTTGGCCCATCATATCCCATAATGCATTGCAGGCTGATCAGAGATTTTTTTTGTGCTTGAATTGGTAGATGAAGCAAGAGAAAGGAATACAGTATTTGGCAGTATAAAAATTAAAAGTTTCAAGCAATTGTGTTGTTAATGCTTTTGACATTTCTATAGACGTTTTTGAATTGCTTGTCAGAAATCAAACATTTTTTTGTTTGTTTGTGGTTTTATGATAATTATAATACTAATATATTGATATTTTTCTAATTTCAATCCATTTTTGCTTCTGTTTAGTGCCGTCACAGTCTCTAGGTGTCAGGACATACACCAGGGCAAGGGTGGGAATAAAGCAGAAGACTAGACCGGCCAAATTCACAGCCACTTCTTCCGGTCTTCACGGTCGAACAAGGACCGGGTAGGCCGGGTCCTTCGAAGGACCCAACCCCTGAATTTGGACACAGCCATAGTGGTTTTTTGAGTTCTCTTGCTTTAGATACGCTGTGGCGGCCATCTTGAACTGGGCTGTTAAAGAGTTGAAGATATACAGCCAGTGATTACTATTTGAGTTTCATTAAAACTTGTCCAGTGACTTATGAGATATTTTGCTTACAGACAGACAAATTCACACAGAGATTGTTCATGTCTCATATTTGGTTCATATGTGAATAATTCCAAAGCACCAAAATGGACCCCTTTCTGTCTTTGATAACAAACTACCTGAAACTAGCCGTGCGCATCCAGTTTGAACCAGCTACAATCTCTCATTTCACATCTTCAGATTGCCCGTGAAGCCGAGGCCGCCATGTTCCACAGGCAGATGTTCGAGGAGTTGCGTCGCACCTCCCATCTGACCCGCGACCCCACGGAGACCGTCGCCATCGGCGCCGTCGAGGCCTCCTTCAAGTGCTGCGCCAGCGCCATCATTGTCCTCACCAAGACCGGCAGGTACTATGTCCTCGTTGTGACTTTTGTGTGTCGAGTCACGACTCCTCCATGATGAAAGAGCTGCTTTATGACACCTCTCCGTCCCGCCGCCTCCACTGCCTCCTCTGCCTCCTCTGCTCTTATAAAGTGTGCCAACTTCTGCTGCTCTCACAATTTGTTCTCCACTTGTGACCTTTGCAGAGCTGAACCCTGACATTATACAAGTTAATTTTAACTCCCTGTTCATTCCTTTCAGTCAGAGTTTATACTCACTACATGTCATCCAGAACACACAGCACTATAAGCTGGAATCACAGCCTAAACTGGCTTTAATTAATACTGTATTTCGGAAACAATGGCTCTTGTGGTTGCTTGTGCGACAAGCAGTCTTTGTTTGTTTACATGTTTTTACAGCCATTTTAGCTCACGGTTTTGCTTTTCTCAGCCATCATCACTTATTTTGTGTGTTCAACACACACGTAGCTGGGGGAGCTTAATTTGTTTTATATCAGAGCTAAAAAAAAAGAAAGAACTGAAGGATTTATCACATTAACACAAAGTTTACTTCAAGTGAAGCTGTTGTAACAAACCTCTACCCGTCCACTGCAGGTCTGCTCACCTGCTGTCCAGATACCGACCTCGTGCCCCCATCATCGCCGTGACCCGTTGTGGTATGGCCGCCCGCCAGGCTCACTTGTACCGCGGTGTCTACCCCGTGCTCTACACCAAGCCTGCCAGCGACGTCTGGGCTGAGGATGTTGACCTGCGCGTGAACTTTGCCCTGGAAGTTGGTGAGTAGGATCAGTAGTTTGTTGCAATCAGGCTTTTAAACATTTTTAAGGTTAGGTGTTTTTGGACCAGACAGCTATAAGTTTGCTTTCACACTGCCTGAGGATCCCAGTTATTGAGCCCAGCTGACAGTCGGCCTGGCCTTGTCACACATGCACATAATATTCAACAACAACTACTAAAAACGGCAGACTCCATGGTTGGAAGTATGTGTTTTTAGGTATTTTTTATGTGTTGTTTGGAAGAGTGCCACAGTCAGAAGGAGAAAAACTGGGAGCCAAGACTCATACGATAGATTAGTCTACTTCAGTGGTGTCCAAAAAAAGCGGTGTCCTCGAGGGCCACTATCCTGCATGTTTTTCTTTTTTTCACTGCTCCAACACACCTGATTTGAATGATTCCCGGTCTTGTGCAGAACTTGGAAGTGGTAATTCGGTAACTGAATCAGGTGTGTTGGAGCAGGGAAGTGGCCCTCGAGGATAAGGATTGCCTGACCCCCAGTATACTTTGTTCTGCACACTTTAACATAAAAAAGAATATGCCACAGCAAACAGGTTAAGTACCTTCTATTTTAGCAATCTGAATGCAGTATTAATAGTGCAGGTGCTGGAACTGTGTGCAATTTGTTCGGCCAAATAGTGAACATTTATGTATATATCAATCACATTACCTTATGGTTATGGTGAGCGGGGATGGATAAAGAACCCTTATGAGCAGGGGCTTTGTAATTGGGCTTATGGCCATCCCCAAAAAGACACAGAGCTTTAATCAAACCTTCACATCCCCTGGAAGAAAAACACAAAACATTCAGTGTTCTGAGCTTCTCAGAATCCATAAAGGGGTCCCAAGAATTCTTTTCCTTTGACTGCTCAGAACCAAGCAGTGATCTAAATAGTGCAAAGAGGTCTCTACTTCAACACCACTGGCATCGCACAGATCATTTTCATGGAGTCCCATCACCATTTTGTTGCGATTGAGCAGGTTGTGCCCAGTTAGGACTCCGACCACCTACGTTACTCTTTAGTCCCTGTGGAGTGTGTGTGTGTGTGTGGGGG